TATTATTCAAGTACTATTTAATGTTGGGATGCTAGCATTTAATGCACAAATGTTAGATTACTAGTGGTCCTACGTGAAATCTATTCAAAATGTTCGTCATTAAGACCGTACGTTGAATATAAAAATAAAATAATTAGTTAAAATCTCGAGTTATTCCACGTAGCCTTGACAATGGGGTTTATTAATTAAAATTTTGATGACACAATAACTACAAATGTTTATTGTAGACAATATTAATTATGAAACCAGCATCCTGAACTTATTCCCTAGATTCTGATAAATATATCATTCCAATGTATTTCAACGTAAAATCTATTAACATAGCAAATTTTCTGAATTAAAATCTTAAAATAGCAACACTTCCGTTCACCTTATATTCGGATCACGTAACCTTCGCCTTATGTATTTGGGGGCCATTTGGAACTTATAAAAAATCAAAATTATCATTAATTACTAGTTTAATCAGTTTAATAAATTAATTTTTATGTTATTTTAACAGCCCATAATTAGTTGGAAACCAAATTTTGCTCCACAGTACCAAGTCTTCCTTAAGCCAGTACTACTTCTATCTCTCAATAGAGATAATGAAATTAATAAAGTTACCGTAAGGAAGCATTGGCCATATTTTTCCATTTTCCTGCCAGAATCCCACATAATACATGTGATATATATATATATATATAACTAAAGTTAATCCTCAATTACAGAGCTTTGTACAGTGCCGGTGATAATATTCTAATCATATATTTCGCGGTAATAAAGAACCTTACCTATAACTTTGCTTTGATTATATTTTCATATAATAGCATCACTTCAGGATCGTAAATATATGAGAATTACAAAACCGTCAGTTCCATCAAGCATTAAAACGTTTGTAAGTAGACAGTTAAACTCTGTACGCTTTTCTCCATTTCTTCTCTAAGAGCCATAACACCTGATCCCAATCAGGTATTTGTTCAAGACGTGGCCGCATTGTCAAGTTGTGATGTGCATGTAATTTAAATACTAAACAATTTCCTCCCTAGACCATATGATTTGAAAGATCCAAATTTGACTGGGGGTGGAGGGGTGTGCAAATGGAAGTTGATGATAGAACAAAGTTTGCTGTCTGCTGTGAAATCATGAAGATGAAAGATTTGCCACCCTGTTATTAAAGACGAGGGGTGTGCGAAAGACTAACCTCCACGTGGCGCACCCTGGGCAACGTATACTCATACGGCAAAAAAGTATACTAACCTGCAGTTGGCTTCTGACTTCTAACTACCATGACCACACTGTATGTCATAGTCGACTACTTCTACAGTACTCACCTTACCCTACTCTCTATCATTGTGTCTGTCTCTTTTACGTCTACAAATCACTCTTCGGTCCCCCTCTTGAATTTTCTCACTTTGATGTTTCTCTCCTCTGTGAAGTTGAAAGTCAGCTAAGGGCTAATGATAGCTTTCAAATCGCCTGCCATTTGAAATAAGAAAATTTTTAAAGGCGAAATATTTGACGAGAAGTAAGTGTATGGAACAATAAATGAGTGATCATTAATAGAATCTGCGTAAGGAATCTGGGTTCCCCGATAGTAGAGAATTTTGACCAATATTTATATATAAATATATATATATATTCAAATTATGATTAATAAATTAAGGTCGCAAAATAGAATTTTTATGGTAAATTGCATTAATAACGCCATAATATTGAGGTTCATTTTTATTAAGAAATTTACTTTTCATTGAAGCTCACATTAAACATAAGGAGAAAGTAAATAAAATTTAAAGTTTTGAGCCATTAGTTGAAAATTTTAAGGACTGGCTAATATAAATATATGTTGCTTAGATTTCCGTTAACTCGTGCATTCCCCAACATGATAGATAAGTCGGCAACCGTGGTAGAAGATACACTAAATAAAAAACTATCATTAAATATCGCAAACCTGTTCTTGATTGATTCGATTGTCTAAGCATTGCTCTTGAGAGTTGCGATAAAAGCAATATTATAAATTATAGAAATTATTGAACAATCAAGTGGAAATTTAGTCTTAACATTTCTCGAGTAGGTAGGACCAGGTAAGATCCATTTTGTAACCTTACTTTCAAAGTGCAGTAACGATTAAAAATAGTTTATGTCGTAAGACTTGATTATATTCTTTTACTTCGTCATCTACAAAGCATAGCAAACACACTAATTATTATGTATTTTCAGTGATGATATACCGTGGAAAATACGATAAGTTATTTATGAACTCTTCCATAGAATCGATCATCGAATTCTGCGTGTCATGCACAAACGAGGTGTCATAATTATACACTTGACTTTTTAAATTGGTGTGAAAAGCATAATTATCCCAGGAATGAATTCACTAAGGAACTCCAGGAGGCAAGTCCTAAAGTTTTAAATTAGAAGTATTACGTGGAAATTTGGGTAATTTAGAATTGCATAATTCCCCTCCACGACCCCCTCCCACCCCCCACCCCCTCCCCAAATTATTTAGTATCCATGGGTGATATTCCTAATTAGAAGAAAAATAATAATTTGCATCCATTTGATTGATAGTGATAAATTAAAGGTTACTCTAATAAAGTACTCAATTAACAGGAACATGTTAATGTAGGAAGAACAGTACGAATTTTCTAAAATCAGATGAGTTAATGGATCAAAATGAATATGCACACATTCACTTTCCAACTCGGAAATTCCTAGATAGCGCACTTGGAACTAAGGCTCTTAATAATTAAGACGATTTGAAATTCTGCTTCCGAAATTCTCCTTTGTATATATATTAATAAGGAGATATAAACATTCTCGAATGCAATAGAGCAACGCCAAAATAGAATTGATTACACTGTGAAGGCCGCTGCTGCAACCAAATTGCCATTGTAAAATAAACAGGATTTGAAAAAAATTGCATAGTTCGTATCTTCTCAAAAATTTCATTCAAAAGTTAGAGAGACTTATATCTTTCCAGTTGCAGGTTTACCTTACTCCCACATGGGCACTCTGGGCAAGGTATACTCATACGATAAACAATTTTGTAAATCAGCAGTTGACTTCTCACTTCAAACTGCCATGGCCGACTGCAAGTCATATTGGACTCATGCCATAGTACTCATCTTACCCTTCCTGAGCCTTTGTATCTGTCTGCCACTTTTACATTCGTGAAACACTCTTCTGTTTCCCCTCTCGAATTTTTCTCACTTTGATGTTCTTCCCCTTTGTGAAGCCCGAAGTCAACTAAAGGGCTAATGATAACTAACAAAACGCCTGCCATTCTAAATAAATAAATTTGTAGGGTTATTGAATTCAGGATGAGAGATTCACTTCCTACTGGTGTATATTCAGTGAAAAGGTGGTTCCATGACAGTGCTGACCATTGGTTTAGAATTAACTCAATATGTAGAAAGCTCCAGAAAACCATTTCTTTGAAGATTGATCAATGGTGTAAATCTCTTCTCTCTACATGATTGAGATACACGCAGACTTTATTATAAAAATCCAAATTTAGAGTCAATGGTTCAAGTGTTATTTTTCAAGCGCCCAAATAACATCCTTAATCTGACAGTCCGCACTAATATATTGAAATACTCAGAAATTAAAGGCTGGAAAAGATACTTGACATTGAAACATCAAAGTGTGCCTAGAACCATGACTTTTAGCAATTTTTTGAGGTTACACGCCTGCTTCCCGGCAAAACGTACCAACACAAACATAGGCTTTTCTCCAAGGTTAAATGCTTTAGTAGGCTTGCAAAAAAGCACTAATTTAATGCAATTTTGCAAGGTCACTTTCCTAATGAGCAATCATTAAAATTGAGATTATTACCTCACTAATTTAAAATCTCGTGTGATATGAGTAATTTATTAAAAGTAATAATTGCTTATAGATAATTTTGACTTGTAAAAGGATTCTAAACAGACTCTCGCTTGTAAAACACAGATATAAAAATTTTAATTAAAATAATAATTAAGTGAATTTAGACTAGAAAGTCCTTCAAGTTAACTAAATGTTCTGCTTACAACAAATAATAATTCCATAAAAGAAACGTGTTCATTCAAGGCTTTCGTTATTTTTTTCCCCTATATAGACTAGTTCTCTTGATTCAAAGCCTCTAATGTTTTAAATCCAAAAATTTTTATAAATAAATAGTAAGCAAAACCTTTGAAATAATCACTGGACGATAAAGCTCTTCGCCAAGAGATGTCAAACAGCCTCTTGTTTGAGCAAATTTTGCCTTTCTATTTAATTTGGGAAAATAGGAAGACAAGATTTTATTCAGAAACGCCAAGGCACAATTAGAGTTATCAAAATATCAAACCCACCCCCCTCTCCCTCCCACTCCAATGATGCATGCTGGCTATAAGAAAAAATTCTCCTCCAATTCGTCTTACCGGCATTTGCAATTATGAATGCGTTATAATTGCACCAATAATCGGTTTTCTTAACTTTTCCCGCCTTATGAAGCCCACATACAGCGTAGCTCAGGACAAATCACTAATTACGAAACAAGCAATTGAATAGAAGTGCACAGTTGATTCAATGAATTCACCAAATCCATAAGAAAATGAGGAAACTTTTATTAAAGGATAGTTTTCATCAATATTAACATGTGTCTGCTTGTAGCAATATAAGTACTTTCAAAAATAACAAAATAAATGGTAAGGTGAGCATTATTTGTCTTAGTCTCGGTTCAACAGAGATTTTACTGACTATGGCCTTTGTGCAGTCTCATGTATCATTTAGCATTCCAATTGGATAATCACTTTGCTCACTTTCCTGTTTTATCATGATTAACACAACTTTGGTCAAATAGAAGGAATGCCCTCTGATGCATAATGAGGCAGGAAGTACAATTAATGTATATAATATGCGTTCCCCGTATAATAGAAACAACGATATATATGCAGAGAACAAGAAAGGAAACTGTACACATGCAAGAATTGGCTTACTCATACCGAATTGAAAGGATGGATGGAAGATTTGTAGTGTAAAAAAGGATTGGAGATTCGTGACTAGGAAGTTTTAAGTTGAACACGCTCGCCAGATTCAGTAAGAACTGTTCGGGATAGTCCACTTGGTGGTCGGGTTCTGGGTGTTCTTCGTCCGGAAGCTCCATTTCCAAAAACTCGGGATCCTATACTGGAAACACTGATTCGTCTTGGAGGCATAAGAGCAGAAGCAGTAGAGGTTCCTGAACGATTATTAGTCGACCCTGCTAGTGAATGTGCCGCGTGATTGGCAAGGTTAGATCCTCCATTAATGAGACTGACCGTGGTATGATCATGATAAGAATTCGGTTCCAAGGAATGTGTGCGTTGCTGCCGTCTGCAACAGCAGAATATCTGTGCACACTGCTCCCGAAAAACAGCACTAGTGGCCAAGTAGATGTAGAATTTAGCTGCATAGTGCGAAGTCCCAAAGCAATCAATCAGCGAGCGCACTGTCACAAACCGAAAATGTCGTCGCCACTGAGGGTCCTTAGCAATTTGCTCGTCAGTCATACAAAGATCTCCCATTGGTAAGAGACAGTAGAGTACAACCATGACAGCAACCGAGAAATGGGCAATGATTAAGTAAAAAGAAACACAAAGAAGGGTCAATGTGCTGGATTGTTTAATCTGATGTTCTTTGATAGAGGCTTCGAGTTGGGGTAAGAAGACAGAACTGGTGGTTGAAAATCGGGTGCAGCTATTTGATGTGGGTGAATGGGGAAGTAGACGATCTCTTTTAGATCCACTTGGGTCTTCGCGAGAAAGCCTGTGCAAGGCTCTAATTACGAGAATGTTAAGGATAAGACAGATGATTGGAACTAGTCCGAACATAAGTAGTTCTGTAACCAAGGTCCATCCGGTGTAAAATAGCCATTCTGGCTCACCCACTTTTTCAAAATCCTCCCGTAAACCACAATGTCCATCATTTATAGTAAAAAATACACCCTGAACACTAGCCAGAAGAGCACAAAATAAGATTGTTGCAAGAACAACATGAACAGCACTCTTACAGCTATTTCCAAAATTTCGAGCACCGGCACGGAATGGAAAACAGATAGCTATATATCGTTCCACAGTAAAGACTAGGGTAAGCATTGGACTAGCATATTGAAGCAGATAGTTGGCAATCGCAAAGCCTTCGCATACCACACTGTGGTCGAGAGTTTGGAGTTTCCACGGTGTATGTAGGTACCACATAATCTGAACAAGGAAAAAACAGAGATCAACCCAGCCGAGACCTGCTTGATAGACAGCTGCAGCAACACTCCCCTGTTTTAGCATGTTCTTTTTAGACCAGATATAAATGCTGAGAATGCTTCCTGGTAAACCGAGTGTGCACCATAAGGGATAACTCACTTTCTCAACAACATCATTTACCGGAGGCATAAATCGTGAGTACATAAGCAGGTCGCTGCCATTATATCGGGTCAGAACGTCTACCAAACCGTTAGAACATATTGGTGGGTCTTGAGTGGATGCTGCAGAGGAGAAATTTAGACTTCCACCTTTACCAAAAGTTGTGTCGATTGGTATATTCATCCAAGGGATCCTCTAGTATTCCTGCTTATTTTATTTTCAATAATCACTACCGCACTCTTGATGTTTCGCTTGCGTATGCTTGCACTCAGAGCGCTGAATACGCGTCACATTATACTGTCAATTCGGATGATCATCAGCTTTTATTATTTGCTTAATCTCTGAAATGCTTTACTGTCATGTGGTTCTGGCCCAATCACAGGCCCTAACCGCTCCAACCAATCGCGGTGAGGAAGTGACGCAAGTGCGATGTGCAAGTTGTGCGTACATACATGCGCGCACCTCACGAAACAGGCTCCTGCTCCTTATGCTCTCGCTTACGTCTTTGATGATGGAATAAGTACCACTCATTGTGGAATCCAAATATGCACCGTTCTTTTTTAACAAAGTGACACTGAAAGTGCTTGTGGTGCTGAGAAGTGACTCGTCTTGTGCAAATATCACCGAATGAAGAGCTAGTTTTATGCGAATCCTCCTATTGCTCTATCAGATTATGGAACGCAAACGCTTTGTATACCATTCAGGTGCATTCAAAAATAGCTCATTTTACGGTAGTATAATATAGTTTGGAAGGAAACCCAAATTGTCTCCAGGGTCTGTATACTTCCAAAATAGGATAATTTACCTTTTCAACATTAGCTGTTGGAATGATGAGGCGGTGATGAAACATTATTGGCGTACATGCAAAATTCCTTTTATATAACGGAGTCACCGATGAACGCTTGCATAGAAATTGAAATTTAATTGAACTCCATAGTGTCTCTCGCCAATGATGGTTCCTACTGTCAGCACAAACCACTGACATCTGAATTTTGGTTGATTACGAGTGCCAAACACTTAATACATATTGATGCTAAGAAGAATTTACTACAAGACTGATTATGTCACCTCTATTAATTTTTTGAGCTACCATGATAAATTAAAGTAGAATAGCAGGGTTGCTTAAAAATGGCGGAATACGATAGAGTTCACTTTCCTTTACTTAAATAAAAACGGATTTGTGTTTACGTAATCTGGTTTTTAAAGTTGGGAGTTGCCTTTTCAATCGCTCTGCATGTGATTTAAAAATGCAAGTACTTAAGGGCAGTTCGGAAAGTTCAGTTTGAGTTTGTATGCTGGGACACGGAGAGTCACGTGTATGGTTGTGAACAAGTTAGCAATCTTCATTATTGCAAAATTAGTTAAAGTGCGTTCAGTTAATTAGTGGTTATCATCATTTTACAAATTTACTTAGTCATTTGAGTTACTCGCAGGCATTCATTGTCTTTATAGTAGGGCCTCACAAACAATAAAGCGTTAATTTTTAAAAGACTAGCAATCAAATCGAAACTACGCATCTTTGTTAAGTCACGCTCTATGGCAAATTCCTCCACATGGTTGTGTTGACATCTTTGGCTTATATTTGTGGCTTAATGGGAGTATTATAGACAGGATTAAACAATATTTAAATCATAGAAAGCCATCTCACTAGTTTTATCTTGCCTTCTAGCATAAGACGTTCTTGCTAATTGTTAAAGAATTCATCACTTCACTCTAAAAACGGGGTTCCTTGAGAATTAAAATTATAGCTCAAACTAAAAAGTTAATTAACCCATTTGGACAATAATTATTGCGCAAATTAATACATCATTGTTATAAACAAGCCTTCAATATTAAATGATGATTTTCATTGGTTTTCTATCGATGGTAAGCGAAAGTAAAATCTGAACCCCCCCCCTCCTCAATGGTGCCTCAAGATGTGCAGTTTATCACAACTCTGGATCCATTCCCACAAAACTGGCAACTGGTACCGTCTATTGCAAACGCCTCTTCTCCTCCCACTCCTCCGTTTTAACTTTCAAATATGTATTTGATCCGACTCAACTTTTTGTCCTCTAGTTTAAGATAGTTTCTCTAAAAGAGTGGCCTCTGTAAGATCGTCAGTTTTGACACGAGCTATTCGACCTGGATTTAAAAAAGCTTCAATTTTTTTCCTTTAGCATTGCGTAGTAAGTGAAGGTATCGAGGCATATTTCGTACTAAGGCATTTGCATTTAATGAGACTTTGGATGCTATAATGATAAAACGAACTGTATCAAATTACAACAGAAGCCATAAAAATGTATCTAGACTGGGCGACGCCCTCTTGCAACATGAGTACCAATTTATCATTTGATTTATGAAGTGCACATTTAAACAGGAGAGATAGAGTGTGTATGGTAAGCAGTGAGCATTGGTGTGCACATCTGGCGCAGGATTAAACACATTCATCTTCGAAATCGGAAATTACAGGCTAGAAACCTGGAGGCACACGCGCAATGAACGAAATGGCCACCACCACATCTCACGTCTGGCCAGTGAAGGAGGGTTGCAATTAACTTCTACACATAGTGAGCACCAAAAAGCGCTATTATTAATGTGCTTTGTGGCTACTCTTAGACATAGATGGATCAAGTGATAGTGGTGACCCTAGATAATTATAGCGTTAGTAGCTAAAATATTAGAGATCTGAATCAAAATACACCACTATTCATGCAGGATAGGTAAAAAGCTTCGAAATCTGTCTTAAAAGAAAACTAAATAGATCATGGTCAGTAACCTTGGGTTGAATTCTGATAGCACCAAAATGGGATCGTAATATTTATTTATTTAAATCAAATGGCAGGCGTCTTGATGGTTATCATCTTAGTTGACTTCAGGCTTCACAGAGGAACATCAAATTGAAAAAAGTCGAGAGGGGGGGACAGAAGAGTGCTTCAAAGATGTAAGAGACAAACAAAGATAGAAAAAAGGTGAGGTGGGTACTGCGGAAATAGTCGATTATGGCATAGAATGAGGTGATGGTAGTTTGAAGTGAATATACGTTGCCCAGGGTGCACCACGTGGAGGTAAGTCTATCGTACACCCCGGGATTGTAATACAAGTCATTGAATGTTATTATTTGCGATTCTCATGCTTAACCTTCCATGTTCGTTGACTTTCGTAGTTAAAATATTAACTGTGAACATTCCAGTTGGAGTTAAAAGAGCAATTAAAAGCCAACAGCGTTAAAATAATTCACACACCCAAATGAAGTTCATTATATTATATGCGTTCGATTATAGTCATGGAGGTATAAAGTTTTAGTTAAAAAAGGACTTAAAACCAGTCCAGCAGAGCTAGTGATCTATTTGTTTCTGTTGTATTAAATGAAAGGTAAACACAGTGTTTCATGATAACGTAAATAACAAAATGCATGAAGCAGTCTTCATTTTAGTCACTCTTAATGCATGTTAAAAGTTATATGTAAAAAGGAACGGTTGCTTCGATTCTCATTAAATACCCTTACCGCCCATTGAGTGTTTACTTTCTTCTCAGCATCAAATCAGAAAAAGCTCTCAACAAAGCCCATTTGTTCGTTTTATAATAAATTGTTTAAAATGTACATTGGAATGACATTTTATTTTGCTTTATAAAATCACTGAGCAGGTAGTTGTACAGATATTAATGAAAATTAGCCATTGGTCATTTTATACTCACCTTTGTAGTTGACCAATAAATTTACTTTCGCAATAAGGTTTTTTAAGTACGCACTACAAATTATGAAAGTTTGCAAAGCTGCGAAATAATGACTTAAAAGCGAAATCTTAAAACTCATGTAAAGCCAGCTCTATAAAACCGTTCTGAGTTAGGTAAACAGGATACAGTAGCATTTCCGAATCATGGAATTAGTTGTGCGTTCTATGATCCCAGAGAGAGAGAGAAAGAGGAAAAGGATTGGACACTAGATAGAGGATGGGTACCATACATAAAACTGCGAACGTGACACTGAGATCGCGTTTAAAGGTTAAATAAAGTGCATTTAGAGAGGCCGTCCTGTGGGGTGGTGGCTTTCGTTCACTGGCAATTAGTTATGAGTCAGTAAGTGCGTACTGCATCGAGTGATAGAGATGTAGTAGACCAGGAAATTTAAGTGCGTATGTATTATAATGCAAAAAAGATTTGATGAGAAATTTACCTAAAATAAATAATTTCATCCACCATCAAACGGTGTACTTCTTTCATGGAGCCTTAATCATTTTTTTCCACTAAAAAGTTAAATGAGCGCCTTGTGAAAATGAAAGGTATTTGAAGCATTATGAATGGAGTATTCTGAAGATCTACTGAATTTAGATATTCTAAAAGATCCAACCGTTTTTTGTCGGACTTATCTTACGACTGTGGTCGTGACATTTACAAATATTCATGTACAAGTTTTGCTATCAAACTATTCGACAAGAACTAAACAAAACAAAGCTCAAATTTGAGGTGTTTATCTTTTGTTATGTGATGAACAATTCGCATGGTTGTGTCAAAATCAGCCAGTAGTCTTATCAATACTCGGGTGTACATCGTTATTGTTGAATATTTGGAAATAAAACTGTTCTCACTCCCCTTGTGCATTATCATCCTACACAGACAATAATAAACTTGCTTTCGTAACCATTTCTTTTTGTAAACGGTAAACTAGCAATAGCAAGTATGTTGATAAACCATTGTGACAGATGCTAGTCTATTTAGAATTTTTATAGCATAACATTATTGAAAAATTTTGAATTTGGCTTAAACTAATTTTAGGTAGTGGCAAATTGCTCGATAAACCAGGATTTCGAAAATAAATCCTATGCAAAATGTTTTGCGTTTGTTGAGAAAAAATATTTTTACTTCTCTTTACTGGTAAGCAGGTTTAAATTAAACTAAGTCTTTACCTAATACCATTAAGGGAGAAAAATTTCATATTCATTTGAAGCATTAGCGAATTCGGCATTATTGTTGTCTCATTTCTACAAAGGTATGCAGTCTTCATAAGTGAGCTTTTGCATACTCAGGTGGGGTCTTTTTGTGAAGCCATTAAACAAGCTGTTGTGATGCTCTAAGATCATTAACAAATTTTTAATCTTGAAGACCAAAGCGCAGGCGAAGTTGCCAAAAAATTCGCTTTTCATATAAAGAACTTCATTTGCAGGACTTTTATGCCTTCTACTCTAGGCTTCGAGAATTTCCTG